ATTCCTGCATCTTCATGATACGTACCTTCATATTCTCCCAGTCTTCCAGCTGTTTATTGTAGAGGTGTCGAATCTGACCAGTGGAATAGCTGAGCTTCTGCTCATGTTCTTTTAAAAGACCATCAACTGCCATCTGGGAGACATAAGGGAGCTCCTTCTCAAACAACTTCAATTGATCCTGAAATTCTTTTTAGAAAAGACAAGGTGTTTATGTGACACGTAAGCATTCATTGCAAGGAAAAAAAAAATTCAGGTGATCTGAATATACACGGCAAGGGTCAAAAAACTGGGAATTTTCTCTCACAGAGATTCTGTCCTTGCCATTCCTTTTTCTAGGTCCAATGCTTTGAGAAACATACACTTGCTAGAAGATGTGACCTTGTACAGGTCTTTCAACTTCGTCAAGTGCCCTTCTGCTACGCTTTTTGTAGCTGATGATATATAAAAGAGAATATTGGCCCAATTTCTGGTAAAATCAACTGGAGCTTTTCCACTGATTGTGATGGATTAAGAAAGCTACAGAATTCTTGATCACTGCAATTTTCAGCTTACATAACTGAAAAATTATATACACAAGAAATGAAAAGTCTTAACTGAATGAATTTACCTATAAGACAGGAATTGTAGTAATCATCTGTCTGACTTTGGTATGACAGTAGATTCTGTCTGAGTACTTCTGCACAACGTTCAAATGTCTCCGGCAGATCTTCAGGCATTGTGATTTGAGGCTTCTCTTTTTGATAGAACTCCTTCGGGAGGTAAAGATAAACCAGAAAATGTGCTGATGACACATTCAAACAAGTCACATCTAGGCATGTAATAGTAGCAGGGATACATAAGGCTATCAACCACCCTCTTATTTGAGACTAGTTTTGTTCCTCTGATTCTGAAATGCTTAGTTAATATTTATAAAGAAACTTGTGATTAAAAATATACTGTGTCAAATACTATTTAAAAATTAGATGCATTGGTGAAGAAAGGAAAATTTTTGGATGGCAATCCAAATATTGTAAAGAACTCAATTGTTTAGCTGACACAGGAGTACACTTATGAAAGCAAAAGTGACTGAAGAACACTGGGTTTTCTTACCTCAGCAAGGCAGAGCAAGCTGTTATTACCCATCCAGAGAATATTCATAGTAATCCCCTTAAAAGTACTGAAAACAAACAAAATTAAAAAAAAAAAAACAAACTTAAAAAGGCAATCACACAACGATCACATTGGCAATATTTACTCTTTTTCAAATATTTTGTTCAGGTTTATTTTAATACATTTTTCAGAGCATACACAAACACATATTCAGAATGCCTAAGAGCCTTCATGCCCAGTAGTACAGATTCTCTTCAGAAGAATCAAGGACTCTGAGCTATTGTAAATGCTTACTGGAGAACACTTCCACGTCATTATAACAAAAAAGCAATCTTAGCCAACTTCCTGTGCTGAAAACTTACCGTAACATCTTACTATGCATCTTAGATAAACCAAAAATATTTGAAGCTGTTTACTGGAAGTATTTTGAAACACAGTGTGGAACAAAATTCCCAAGCACTTGAACATCTTAGGCATTAATTTTAATAGTTTTGCATGGCACATATGAAATATCTCAATTCTATATAGTACGACTGCACATACCAAGAAAAAGTATAATTTTCTTAGAGAAGGAGAATGAAACCATTTAAAAATCACCTCCTAAACAGTTTCTTCCTTGTTTATTCATATAAATGTAATATTAAGCACAAGAATGTGGTGTATAAAATTATTTGATCTTCTTAGAGGTGAAAATAACTGTAAGACAGGATATTTTACATTTTCCAGCCTGTTTTTTGTAGTATACAAAATAAGCCTCAATGAGGCCACCCATTTCAGACATTAAACAGAATAAAATGGATTACTTTTATTATCCACCATTATTATGCTGCAAAAAGGAACTGTTCTGTAATCACTTTGACCCATAAATATCAAGGCTAAATACCTCAAAATTTAATGGTGAACTCTACAGTTCATGATCATAAATAAATAGATAGATAGATAGGATATTTTTGCAGAGTAACTTCTATTTCTGCAAATATACATGACTTACTCAGATTCTAGAGGCTTTTCTCCAAATATCTGGAAACTCTTGTCACTGAGAACTGGTCTGGTGTATTTGTGCATCCTAGGGAGGCAAAACATTAATCTGAAACTGTCCACAAGTATTTTCCTTCTTTGGCTGATTATTTGAGCTAGTCAGTCATATGATGGACATGAAACTGAAGAAAAATTTGAAAAAAGGTAACTCTAAAACTAGTATTACATGAAAATATTTTTTGATGGAAAAAGATTCTCAGCATTCTCTCCTAAATGGCTCTTCAAAACTTTTCTGTTGTTTTCACTATTACAGTAGCTCATTTCATCTGTCTATGGACTAAGCTGAAGACATACTGTTTAGACACCAGACCTGAAAATTAAGCCATATTGATTTAAGAGTGGGGTTAGTCTATATTTCAACAACTTCAAAATACAAAAAACCAGCAGATGAAGGAGAAAAAGAAGAATGTTTTTCCAGCCAGAATTTGAAAAAAAAAACCAAACAAACAAAACCAGAGCTGATCATGAGGACATAAACAGGGAAGAGATCCGAAGTGATAAGCATAGATGGAAAGAAGGCTAATATAAATAAGCACTAAGAATTTTTCAAAGAACAGGCAGTGGACAAAGTTTAGGTAAATTTCTGTATAGGAATATTGTAAGTGGAATTCCTCCTTTCACGGGTCTTACCTTCTTCTAGGCTTCTTTTTGTTAGAAGATGACTTCTTGGTGATCTGAGCTGCATAGCTGTAAGTAGCAGAATTCTGAGGACCTTCATCAGATATGGTTAAGTGAGAATTCTTCTTTGATGTGGGAAGAATTTCTTTACATTTAACAAGAAAAGATGAAGAACATTGTATAAATGCCAACTGACGTCTTTTTTATATGGTTATATAGTTTGTGTTCTCATTTCTATAATGTGTCCTTACAACATTAAGGGCACAACTATAGGAACAATAATTTCTGGCAGACAGAACTGAAGTAAACCAGCAGTGGCAATAGCAATAAAGGTTGTGCACTGGGGCATGAGTAATGGGAATGTCATAGAAAATATGTGGCAGATGGGAGGAGATTTAAAACAATATTAAGGTGGGAATAAGAAGGAGAATGAATGGGCTACATTCATAGCTTTTGCTGTGATAGAGACTTAGGAATGTGGAAGAGTGAGAGGGTATCTTTGGAAGTGGCTGGAGGAGTCAAGCTCTGGAGAAGAGAGATGGGGAAATGGGAACACTAGGTAGGGAGCAGTTCGGGTTACCTCTGCACTCACCTTTGAGTGAATGATAACACACTGTGAGAAGGATCCCCGATTCCCTACATATTTTCATGACTTCTAATTATTTTCTCCAACCCTTTTCCCTTTTGTTATCACAAATATGGGTACTCTTTATAAAATTATTATCTCATTCTGCAGCTTTCATTGGTCAGGAGCCAAAAATCATCTTATTATTGCAAAGTAAAGATATCAAAGAAAAAAGTTGGGATGCACAACTCTCTCACAGTTAGCATGTAAGCCATTGGCCTGGAACATGCTAGACATCCTCAGTGATATGCTAGGAACTACAATTTAGATTAATGTAACATGTGAAAAGAAATGCTGGCAAACCTTGTCCTAATGAATGCGAGTGATCTTTTCCCTCCTGATTTAGGCCTGGAGATTTTCTGGACGGTTGAATTCTGAAACAAAAAAAAAGAGCTAAGCAGTTATTGAATAACCTGCTATTTTTATTATATACTATATTATATAGAGAGCTATGTGTGTTCTCTTTCCTTACCCTGTCCTAAGTGCAGTTAAATTTCTGAGATAATATTTAACAGATAGGATTACTTTTACAACTGACAGTGTAAATATAACTACTTTCATGGGACTAACTAATTGTTTAACTGGAATTTTGGAATTTCTACAAGCAAAAGTGCATTAAAATATTTATTTGCAAATCACACACTTGTCATACTGTCCATTTCACACTTTGTATGTTCATTCAACTATGTAGCACATAATCACCTTTTAACTAAAATAAGGCTCTAGAAGACAAAAATTTAATACCTAAAATTTATCATAGCTCTATAAACTAGATGTCACTTATTACTTACAATGGGGTATTTTTGGCTATTAGAAATCTTGCTCTTAAAAAGAAAGCAGTCTCAGCTAGACTGATTTTTAAAGATAGATTGATCAGAAAGTAAGTAACAATTTTACCTATGAACAATATATTCAATAGTTTTGTAGATACAAAGGTAAACTACAAAACGTGAATTCAGGAAAACCTTGATATATTTCTAGAATACCAGTTTAAAAAATATTGTACTGAAGCCCTTTGTAGCATTGTCATGAGGTTCATGAAGAAAAGAGGTATACATAGTAAAGAAAATATAAATAAAGACAACGACAGAAAAATACCTTTAGGCAAACAAGTACTTACTCAAGTAAATTTTTTATAACACTTATTGATAAATCATCAAATGGAGACTCTCCCATTCTGCTTGGATTTAACAAGGGAAATTTGACAGGATCCAGCCCCATCACCATCACTTTGTTCTTGTCTCTGAGACATTCTGTTCGAAAAGCAACAGCAATTGGACCTTGTAACGTAACATCCGTTGCAAGAGGGGTAAAGTCCTCCTGAAATGGGAAGAAAAATGAAACCCTGTTGAGTGTAGCAGGCAATTAGAGAAAGCATTACATGTAGTTACTCATTACTAAAGCAGATCTTCCAAACATACGCTGTTTTGCTTCACAGGCTGAAAGGAAGGGGTTTGCAGTTCTAGTAGTAACGTTGTTACAACTCTGAGACACTTAAAAGTAGTTAAGAGTAGATTCTGATAATTATCATCAGGAATATTTAAGTATATACCCTTAAAACAATGATCCACTGTAGATTACAAAATAAAGACAAACTTCTCAGACAAGGAAGGAAGAAAAAAACAGAAACACTTGATAAAAAAATCTCTTCAGGACACACATGATTTTTTTTTTTAAAGAAACCCATGAAATACATATCTATGAATAGTACTACACCTTGAGAACAAATTCTTGTGAAGAACTGAGCAACTCATTGTGATGTTGTGCATCTTTAACATTTAGTAAACTCAGTGGTGATGGATTTACTCAGCCTTTTAAAAAAGCTGACCTAATGTTACAATGTCTTGGACAGCTTGGCATAATGTAGCATCTTTCTTCACTTGAAAATTGAAAGCACAGATTCTGAAAAACCTTTAACACATACACAGAAAAATTGACTCAATATTAAATAAAATATAAAGAATTTTAATGCTATCTTACATTATCATGTGGGCTCGTTGCTTTTACTAGCAAGCAGTCAAGATACTGGCTCCTATTTTTCAGTTCTTTCAACACTTCTTTGGCAAAATCATACAACTCTTCAGAAGTCAAAGCCTGAAAGATATGAAGATACAGATGGTATTTACTAAACTAGCTATTTCAGACTTTTCAAATATGCTGACTGTTGCATACAACATCCTTTGACTCTGTTCTGTCACCATTTTATTTACACATACATGGAAGCAATAAGATTGTAGAGAGGCTGAGGTTTTTGTTTGGCAAACAGGAAATCAGGTACAGGACCTCCCTGAGCAAAAATTCTGTGGCAAAGTACTCTTTCTGCCCACTACCCAAATGTCTATAAACATAAGTCTACCTCAAAAATATTAGTTTACACAGTATACACACATCCACAGTAAGTGAAATTAATACCAAGTCAAATTAAGTACCGTTTCATGCTGATTAGAACTTACTTCTTTATTTAGGATGAGCACAAGCATCTATCTTCTGATGGAGCTTCTCCAGGTGAGAGTTTAATGTCACTGCCTGCAAATTGGACTTTGCTACCTAAAGCAGAAGCAGATATTGGTGAGGTGAAATCCCATTCAAGGGATTTTCAGAGGCTCCGCTTTGAAACCATTAGACTTGCTAGTAAAAACACTCAATCCCTGGTACTCAGAGGAAAAGCTGAAAACAATAATTCACAAAAGCAACACTTCGCGTCCTTTACTGCGCCACACAAAAATGGTGATCTATTCACATGTACATACTCAACGTGCTGCAAGACCATAGGGTTCCTGCTGCAGCAATAGTAAAAACATAGTTTTAAGCTGATAATGACAGAAAATAGGTTTTGAATCAATATAAAAAGTTACTTAATGTTTGTCCACTCTGAATTCAGCCAAAAATCTCTTCAATGAAATAAAAGATAAATGATTACAATTAATTTAAACAAAGTTTTAATGTTTCTGTTTGTACCTCTGATCTGATTTGCACTCGTAGATTTGTCAAAAGTTGTCGGATCTTCTCCATAAAGACTCGATTCATAAAGAGATAATGGAACTTTGTTTCAGACTGGTTGATAAGTTCAGTAGCCTTTAAGAATGCCAGAAACAAGAGACAGAACTAATTAATTTTCACTTTTTAAAACTTAAATAATAGAACTCACCATTTCTACTTATTTTTTCCATCCTATAATTGCCACACAGAACAGTCTTACAGTCCTAATCTGAGAGCAGGCTGATTATAATTCACATCAAATATGCCAATGTAATATATTATTTGAAAGAATGAAACTCTACACACCTGCTCCAAGCATCTCGATTCCATTTTCTCCAGATCTGTCTTGATTAAACTTTCAAAAGAGTCAATACGCTTACTTTCTTGCTGAAGACACTTGCTGAAAGACTTTACCTCCTCAGGAGAAAAGTTACCTCCCTCCAAAAATAATCTGAAAGCAACATGCAAAGTAAAAGCAATTGGCTATGAGGCTTCCTTTTCTCAAAGATTGTTTTAGCTAAGCAGCCCTGAGACATAGATATCAACGCAAATGTGATGAAAACTGTATAATAATTGTAGCTTAAAAAAATAAACTTGTTTTTTTAAAATAGCGAACTAGATAAATAGCAAAATAAACTTTAATTTTACTGTTCTGCATATGCAACAAACACTGATGCCCAGAAATAGGTAGCTATTTATAAACAACGCTGCAATGAAATCTCTATACCTGCAAGCTTTGAGAAAATCCACATTTGAATCCCTTAATTTTCCTAAAGCTTCCTCCAAATAGTTCCGGTAGCTCCTCAGGGAAACCTGGATCACCTCCAGATGATTATGTAGCTCTGAGTGCACCTTTTTGCTGAAAGAAACTAACCTAACAGCAAGCAATAAACGACACGGAAAACATGTAGAAAGAGGAGCATACATTATGATTCAGAGTCTGCTGGCTGTAAAGACATGAACAAAATCTGAGAACTCAAGAGTGTTTTAAGTATTCTGAAAGCAACTCACTGAACTATGATTGCTTGGATGAACACTCGGAAGATATCAGTAGGCAGTTGATGCTATTGAAGAGTATCCTTCAAAACCAATTAGTCAATTGCTATTACTGTGCAGGTTCAGTAAAATGGATAAAATCTAAACAGATGAAATGTCTTTTCTACTTTAAGACTGCCAGCACTTTGAAAATATATGAAAATTGTAATCCATTCAGTACTGATTTTAATTTCTTCAGGGAGAGATAAAGGAAACAAAAATTCTTTACATTTTTCTAAAGTTTCACAAAGCAGTATTCATTGAAGAGTAATGACATATAAAATAGATTCAGAATGCAAACCAGGAACACCTCAGACAGCAATTAGGAGTATTTAACTATGGAAATTCACAGTCAGCAACACCTGTGGCACACTTACTTCTCAGTCATAGGAGCACTGAGGAAGACAGACTCCATGTCACGGATTTGTGAATGTAAGTTTTTGCTGAGGTTATTTTGCTGATCACAAAATTTCAGAAATTCAGCTCTCTCCTTTTCCAGACCTTCCACCACCCCTGCACAATGGCACTCTAGATGCTCTTTGTGAAGCAACAGTTCCACTGATAAGAAAAGAAATTTTACAGTATGGTCATTATTCTTTGTTTACTGTAGACTATCACAACCACCAGCCAACCTATTACCAGAAGCAGCAGTAAAATAAACGAGCTAGATCTCAGAGTGGCTAAAACATACAAATAAAATGTATCTGATTCTGTTTCTTTGACTTCTCTCCTGTGTTTGACATATATCCCTGGCAGCTCCTAATGCATTCAAATCACAAATGTCTTTTGGTTCCCCTAAGCCCTCTTTTTCCTTTATTTTTGGTCACTGCTGACATCTCCATTATCTCTCTGTTCTCAATCTTGTAACGAAAGTAGAGGTAAAGGATTTTTTTTAAATGGAAAATACACTTCTCTATTTTTGTGGAAAAAAAAAAAGAATTTTTTTTGATCTCCCTTCTGGAATGATAGTTGGATAAATCAAGAGCTAGCCAATCAACCTCAAGAAAACTGCCAGAAAAGGCACCTGTCCTCTTTGCAGGAAGAAGTAGAATTGAAAAATTATTTGCCTGTTCTCCCAAAAGAGAATTTTTTAGTTTATATGTTAAAGACCAACAGACCTGTCTTAAATTTTTTTTTTTTTACACCAGCAAAACTTGACACTTCTCATACAAAAAAAAGAGTTCTGATTACTGGCCAACCTATAGCTGCTCAGTGATATTTCATATAGCTAAATCCTTTTTCTCCTATATTCAGAAGCCAAGTCCTGGCATTTCTTCTCTCCCAACACTTGCTAATTCTTTTTCTGCAACACTTTTAAATTTCTTTTTTGTACATTGCAAACTCTTGTTCTGCAACACTTTTAAATTTCTTTTTTGTACATTGCAAACTCTTGTTAAATAATTTCAAGGAGAATGAGGACTCACAAATATTGACAGTAGAAATTAGAATGTTCTACATCTTTTACAATCAAGTAATTGATCAAGGCACTGCTGGCTATTTTCCAAATATAACATAGCACAAACCAGTATGAGCTATAGAAAAGAAACATATTTTCAAAAATATATGAGTAACATATTATATGAGGAATTAGAGACTCAACTGCTTCCTATTGTCCTCTACTGCTGTGTCAACTGACACTGAAACAGATTTTGGTCCACTTATGATGGTCTCTAAATGAAGACATGTAATGCTTATAGTAAAAAAGAGTCGGTACCAGCTCTAACATTGTAGATATTTGTCTTTGTATTCTCCAGCCTTTGTTGATGCAAGTGAAGACGCAGTTGAAGTTCTGAATTCAACTCCTCTTTCTTGGCAGCTACAAAGACATAGGAGTTGGACAAGGATTCTGCAAACCATTTCTCCAAGTGTTCAAAAAAGCAGAGGCGAATCCTATGATTGAAAAATAAATATTACAGTGAGGAATAGCAAGTAATAAATAAGAATTTATTAAATATATTAATGCTAAGAATTTAACTTCTGACTATAGGAAGGTATGGTTTCATTACCATTTGCACAATACTGGTAGAGTTTTTGAGCTCGCTGCGTCCTACTGAGTACCAAGCACTTTACCTTCATGGCTCTGCAGGGAATCTGGGCAAATTACTTGCCTTTCTGTAACAGGCTGTCTCACTAATTTTCTGTGAAATACGAATGTTCTCTAAGAGGTAAATGCTTGTGTGGTACTTTCAGAGCCATGGATGAAAAGCAATATAAATTTTTTCTCTTATCAATTTAAAAAGAGGAATAACATCAAAATAATTAGATAATTTTTGATCTTTAGTCTAATGTTTCTTCCAAACAGCTGAGATTTGTCTATTACCCAAAGGGAAAGAAAGAACATAAAGTGTTTTCTACTAACCGTTTCTTCAGTTCTACAAACATGGTTTCTTTGATAAGTACATGTTTCAGGTACCTAGGAAGTGATTCTTTTTTTTCATATTTTGTAAAATAAGTCTCTGGGATGTCAGTCTTTCCTGCCTCTTCAACTCCAAGAACTGTGTAAGAGTTTCCACTGGAAGTGGAAAAGGTCTCAATGGCTATTTCAGAGCTTTCTGCCTTGCTGCTGTTGAACATAGCCTAGAAAAAAAAATGGAAATCATTATCTGTTACCTCTAAAGGTATAAGCCTAGAATCAACAGTGCACAAGCTAAAGTAAGAATCCTAAGGATGTTAAGAATAATGTTCTCAATTTGGTCAACATTCATAGAGAGAACATGCTTGCAATTCTCAATAAGCAAAGTCATCAGTGTTTTAAAAGATTTTTGTTATGGTAATAAATTCATGTAACTAAAGACCTGAAAAACTAATACTTAGATACAAATACAGCTTAAATCATTCTCCATGGGTTAAGAATACTATGATGAAAGAAAGAAAAATATTAAAAAAAAATTCTATGCAAAAGGTTTTACAAGGGTAAAAGCAGTGCAAACGGAATGGTTGTAAACTGTTTTACACACTCCATTTGCCCATAAAAAGCCCTAATAGTCCTGAAATAAACGAAAACAATAAAGACTCCTGTGTGCTTTGGGTACAAACTAAATCTAATCTGCTTTAAGGAATTTAAACTTACCTCAGCAAAAAGACGACTTCTGATTCATCATTATTTTGTGCAAGACTTCCTGCACCTTCAAACTTATTCTCTTGTTCACTTACCTGTGTAAAGCTTGCCTCCTGTTCTGCATGCTCAGTTTCTTCACTTTCATGTGGAATACTCTCCTCATCTTCTTTTTCCTTTGTTTCTTCAGTTTTCTGTGCAAAGATCTCCTCATTCTCAGCTGTGTTTGTTTCTTCCTTCTTTTCCTCTCCTTCATTTTCTTGCACAATGCGCTCAGCTTGCTGCTCCACCAGACATTCAGCTTCTGAAGTCTTAACTAGTTCTTTCCATTAAAAGCAGAGTTTTACTGGCCACAATCCAAAGATATATAGATTGAAAAACAAGCAAGCAAAAATACCTGTTTGTACCATTGAGGTATTACCTTGATCTTGAAATGTGGAGTCTGTATTTCCTTGCAAGTTCTAAAAGCAAAACAGCAACAACAAAAAAAAACCAGTCAATTTAAAAGTAAGGATATGCTTGCTTATAAGAAATCCATATTCCTTCTCAAAATGTACCTATTTCAATAAGATACAATAGTCTTGAATGGATCACTTCTAAAGAAGGTTTAACGTTCAAATTGATTAATGTAATTTTGTTACCTTGCAGTTTTCTGTTTAAAAGGCAGGTGAATTTGCTGAAAGGCAGTTTGCAACAAGGACAGAGTTAAAAGCGTGGGACAGGGAAAGGTTTTGTGTTTCCCCCCTCTATTTCTACGAAAACCACTTCAGTCCTATGGCCAAAACAATGCTTTAGCTTATATAATAGGAATTTTAAAGCTAACGTAAATTTTCCCAAAAGTGAAAAATTCATATACCAGTAAGATTTAAAACCAGAAGAAGTTTGTTTTCTTTATACCTGTTTGAAGATTTCCTTTACATTAAAATATCGGCTGATGGATATACTATAAAAAATCAATTCCTGCAAAATAGCTTCTGGGTAAGCCATTACTTGATCCATTAGAACTTGGTTGCATGTCTCATACCTGTCAAATTTAAGGTCACTGTTTAAGAGACTCAAGTACATATACAAATAAAATGCAATATGACTACAATGTCTTTAAATTCAAATCTAACTTTTTGACCAATCTCATAAAAACTTTAGGCTAAACATTGTACTGTGTCTGTTTAGCCTGAATACAATCACATCCTGACTTGCTAATAGACGTTAGTTCATTACAAATATATAAATGCACAAAAGTTAAGAAATATTCACAATAAATTATTTCAGATCTTTAATTTTGGATGGGAAATCATTCAAGATCTGTGCTTACATAAGGGATTTTAGAAGTGAGAGGTCAAATTACTGTCTTTCATGTTAGTTCTGTATCGTGCTCAGCTGCGATTGAAGCTTTTCAGGTTTATTTTCATTTTACTTGGAAATGAAAACTAATGGTTCGAGCTGAGTCTTGATTCAAGAAAAATCAATGTTCACATCTGTTTTCATTTACATTTACATTTGTTTTGTCTCCTATACAAAGATAATTATGGGGAATTTATGTACATGTTCAAATGTTCAGATAGATTACATTCCATCTCTGCAACCTCCCACTGGATTTTCACTCCCCTAAAAAGGTATGTTACCTTTGGACTTTTTTTAAATTGTCCTAATGAATATAAGGAGCATGAACCAACGGCTCGAAACACAATTACAGTGTGAGATGTGTGCATGTGTGTGCATCTGCCTCTCAGGTCCACATCGCTCTTCAAATAATGCCTCCAGTCTAACAGACAGAAAAGACCTTCTGGATGTGAAAATACAACTGCTTCCTCTCTGGCTGTTTAATCCTCAAAACTTCTGCTAAGATCTTCAGCAGGGAGAGTGGCATGTGCCAATTCTGATGTGATTTTTAAAGACACAAATGCCTGATCATGAGAAACGTAAGAAAGACTACCAAAATACATACTTCGGCTACCTGAAAGTTATTAGTAACTTCTAGTCCTTGTGGCTTGGAAAGAGATCAAATCTGTCAGCACAGGTGATGGCACAGACATACTTTCTGATCCCGGCAATTCAAGAATCTGAACTACTACTTTTATCTTCTGAATAAATAATTATCCCATTGGCATGAATGACATGGTATACTATATAATAATACTGATCTGGCATATTTTTTAAATTACACCAGTTTTCCTTAGTCCTGCTTCTAAAATGTGGATATTATTTGCCTTAACCTTGCTCAATACAGAAATTATTTTATTTTACATTCTTACATGAAGTAGCAAGCAGTGTTTTTCCATACCTTCATACTACAGCGTAAACAAGATCTAAGTAGCATAACCAACATTCAAATATACTTTATTTTACGTTTGCCCTACAAAATTCATACCTAGCTCTAATGTCATCTAAAGAAGAAAGGGCATTCTCCAAATATTTCTTCAGCTTTTCTTCAGAGCTCGCTGTTCTCATTTTACCCAAAATTATATCCAGATTAGCTTCCATCATCTAAGGCCGCACAAAAAGAACACAGTAAAAATGATCTAGTAATTACTAAAATACTTCATAACTATTTAGGATTCAAATAATTTAATTATGCACATATATTCTACACCAAGAAGGGAAGCTACCTTACCAAAACCCATCTACTATGAAGATCTTTCATAGATAATGAACATCTCTGATATTGCCACCCCAAGTTGCATGTTATACCCATAATATGAGAACTTGACATACAAACAAGACTCTATACCTGCACAAGATCTTGTAAGTAATAGAAACTTGCAGCCACTTCATACATAAAACATAATCTTTATCACTATTGCCATATCAAGAATAAGATATGACTGTACATTAAGTGTGAATCAAGCAGTTAGCAAAAAGTGTACCTGACAGAATTAAACCACTCTGTAGAAATTCCAGTAGAAATGTCAAAGATTATGTTTTAAATTTTATATTTAAAATTTAATTTTTTAATTCCAGAGGGTTCTCTGCATTAAGAAGTCCTTTCTTTACATCATCCCACATGCTTGTTTTTATATTTATACCTGTATTGAGTTATCCTGTTTCCATCTGCATTCATCTAATTTCTTCTGAAGTTCACCTTCCTGCTGGGACAGTTTGAGTTGATGGACATCCCAGAGACCCATGGCCTCCTGAAAATAGCTGTAGAAGTCTCTACAATTCCATTCATTTTGTTTAGCCAGCTCCTCAAAGTCTCTCTAAAGAAATACATTTCAGTGAACCAGTTACTATTAAACTGTTTACTGGAAGGTGAAACGAATAAGGGAATTATGACATGACAAAAGGCTGTCTGGAAGTGCACTATCAGTATTCAACATGGTCTCTTCTATTCCGACAGGAAAAAATAGTCCAAGTAAACTGGATAAGAATGTGGACTTTTGTTCTAGAAGCTGACAATATCAAAACTTCTGTTTATTCTCCTGGTACTGTAAAGCACAGAATCACCAAGTTTTGCATACGCCCTGAAGTACCTGGCCATCTATCATCTTAGGAACAACTGCCCAGTGATTTTCATGTATGGAATCATAAAAGATAGGATTGAAAGAAATTTGGGATATCATTTAAATCTATTCCTCTGCCTCAAGGCAGGATGGGTTATACCTAATTCAGCCCTGACAACCTATTATAAATACAAACCAAGCAATTATGAACTCTTCTCCTTGAATCACACCAAACATTTTTATTCATGTGGCAGGTGTTCAGTTACACTATCGACCTCTTTCTAGCATGACATCAATAGCCTAAGACGTATATGGCATTTCAGGCAGTAGTGCAGGAAGAACAAAGTACTCCCAGAGAGTAATAAAAATAAATGTAATAAACATACATCCATATGCTCCAGTTCTTCTTCAAACTGACTTTTTAGTTTCTCAGTCCACTGAAGTAAGTCAGAATTCACAATTTCTTCAGCCTTTTCTTTTGGGCAAACATTCAGATTCAACAGGTTATTCTAAGTGAAAAGAATGCTAAGTTATTGACATGCATACAATATAACAAATATTGTGTGGCTTTTAGAGAGTATGGCTAAACTTAGTCTTTCTTCTTCTCTTGTGAATGGATAGAGGAAGATTCAACCCCCCTAGACCTCACATTCTGTTAGTAAACAGTACAATTCTATTTGGACACAAAGGGAAAAACGGAGGCAGAGAGGTGGAATTTCTTTCTCAAGATAAGACAGATTCAGCACATAGGCTGAGGGTTCTGACTCTGCGTCCTCCACCTAAATGTGGGGCAGTATTCCTTTCATTACTAGCATTTGTTACTGCTTTTATGCATTTCAAGTACAAATACCACAGGCTACTGTGAAACAAAATGGACAGGAAGTTTTCTAACAGAGTAAGACAGAGGTTAAAAAGTAATTTCACTTGTTAGCTCAATGTTTGATGGATCCTCAAAGCCATATTACTGTAACAACACATTGTATACTGTTACTAACAATCCTTCCAAGAATTTGCAAAGCTATGATACTAACCTTGCATAACTGCGCTTCTGCCAAACATTTTTGCTGGACCATCTCAAACTGGTTGCGTATTTTTGTCATACACTGCACATTGTGGGTATCTGAAGGATACAGAAGAACAGGCCATTGTAAAGATTTCCGTATTTCACAGTGCAGCGTGAAATGGAAACATGACAGAGGACCTGTGCTGAATCTCAGCGCAGGTAATATATCCCAATAGTGTCTTCACACTTGTACACTATCAACCAATAAAATAAGATGTTTTAATACAAATCTTTTTATCATTATGCTTAAAAGTAGTGATTTATTTACAATCGCTAGCAATTTCTTTGCTACTATACAGGCTACAAACATTAAGACAGGATGTGCTCTGGAGAAATAGAAGGTAGACACACAGAGGGAAGGCACACTACGGGATTCAGAGAAAGGAAGCATCTCAAATACTTCCCCTCTCATTCTCCAAGAGGTAAAAAGGAGTATTTTTGTATGGTTGAGAACTGATCTGCATTAAAATTAACGTTCTATTTTCCCCAGATTAATTCTAATCAAGTCAGCTCCTGCTAGATCTCACCATGCAAAAATGCTTGTGCTGGCAAAAGGGAGGTGATGCAAAAGACGGCTTATTTTGGTTGTATTGCTAGCTGAAAGGCAACTTAGAAGGTACATGGAAACATAGAACAAAGATTATAGCAAACGTATACTTTCAAAGCAACCATCTGACTCATTACTTTCTGGAAAAAAGAAAGAAGGAATTGCTTGAATTCCAGCCTGTTTTTATAATTTTCCAACTTACCTATACTTTCGTTTAAATTCACCAAAGATCTGTACCATTCATTTATCTCAGCTTTCGTGTGTGTTGGAGGCAACAAATCACTGTCAAAATAGGAAAAAAAAAGTCAGATATCTTCAAATATAATCCAGTCAGTTCTTAAGGGATAAAATTATGAATCAGAGTAGCCATAGTATTGTGCTTTAGTTTATTTACAGTCATATCAGCAATGAAAATAAAACAAGATGACTGCTGTTTTTCAAGGCCACTGTTTACTGACAAGGAACTAACTGTCCTCTATCTTGTTGCTACATACATTGTAAAAGAAAAACTGTAAATATTGTAATACACTGCACCCAAACCAGCTTCTTGTTGTCAGAATGGACATTCAAACATAGCAGTGTTAGACTCCTTTCTTAATTTATTATACAAATTAAACTCCCACACAGAAACAGTGCCTTGACAAGATCACCAATTTTTACTCTACTAATCATTAACTTTTACATCCTTGTCTTCTCCTTTCTACTATGTTTCAAATGTTAGTAAGATTTACTTTTGTGTTCCTGCATTTCTAGTCCTCGATCACCCCCTATTTAGTGTAACTGGGGCATTGAAAACTGAGAATGCATTTCTTTTCCATTAAAAAGAGCTTTACAAAAGAAGTTGAGGCCCTGCCTTACTGCTGCATTGTACAATCGCACACTGAAATGGAGAAGAGTGCATTTTGTAGTCAAGTCCCTCATTAACTCTACAAAGAATTCTATTTCCCTTTGTTCTTGTTCTCTCTTTTGTCATACCCAAGGTGCTGCAAAAACTCCAGTCTCCTTTCACTAAGTAAAATCTGATCCGTTATCATATTTTCCATTTCTGTTTTCACAGTTGGGGGATTCTGTATTTCTTCATTTGCCATAAATTCCCTGGAGGATGGAATAATAAATTGAAGTAAATATCTGTTTGGGAAAATGTTATGTTTGAAATACAAATACAAAATATGTTTTATATATACCAGGTAAAAAAAGAATGCTAAGTTCTTTTAGCTTTTTAGTTTTATAATGGACAAGTGATAAAATATTACTGTTTATAGAAAACACAGGAGAACACTAGTCACTTTGTGTTATTCATACTCCAAAATATAATTGTAACATTTCTGACCTGAAACTGTGAACTACATAGTTCTTTTTGATGAGCTTCCAGTCCTTGACTCTGTCTTGCCATTTCAACCGATATGATAATTCCCTCATCATCTCTGATTTCATTAGATTAAAGAACAGTTTGGCAATTGCCCTCTGATTAACCAACAGTTCTCTGTTAATTGCCTGCATATTAAAAAATAATAACAGGAATAAAAGCAGCATATAACATGAAAAAAAAAAAAGCCTGTTCTATGTAAAATGAGGGAAAAAGAATAAAATTATAAAGAATACCCTGCAAAATAGAAAACTCTCCTATATTGGAGTGATTGGTAAGTAGAAATAATTAATTTCAGTTGGGAAAAAAAGACATTTTGGGAATATTCAGGTTGCTATCATCTCGCAGGTAAAACAGACTCTCACTACGAAAGATTTACCATGGCCTCATAATGCATGAGCCTGTAAACATCAGGTGACAGGAAGAAGGAAATTTCCTCCAGTATCAGGGTATACTTCCTCAGTACATCTGTTATCTGTGCAATAAAAGAATAAAGAACAACAAAAAACCCAACTGTATAACTCAAATGTCAGTTTCCCAAGTTAAGCAATGATATGAACAAGACAATTTGTTTCCCATTAAAATAAATACAACTGGCTGATAGACAGATTGAGAAATTAATTTTAAAATACGTATCTTAAGTATCTTAAATACTGGGGTTTTTTTAATAATTCATAAAAATAGCAACTAAAACATTCCATTTTGTTACTGCTCAACTGATTTATCTTTAATATCTGTGACAATTGAGTTCTCACCTACGAACAGAACCCCTGGCAGACTTCTTTAACTCCTGTGGAAATAAGCTACTCTTTGCTCTGCATCCAGCATTAGGAGCAAATAATAATGTTATGCTTAATTAACAGCTATTAAGACCACAGCTCACTTTATCAGCTCGATTCCTTTCAACCTCTTTTAGGGATTCATCCATTTCCCTAATCCACTTCTTTCTGGTCAAGGCTT